AATTAATTGTCCAGAATATGAGCTGATGAGCTTGTGTGGGTGATGTTTGGATTTCCCTATAGGCGTGTTCAAAAGTTTTGATTTTATGATTGATTTGGGTGAATGAAAAATATTTTACTCTTGTTCTATAAGGATAGAACGAGTGACTGATTGTAGGTAATTGAATCAAGACTGCCACAGTCACAAATGCATACCTATCTGTCTGGTTTATTCGAAATGTTAAACGATCGTCAAAGTCAAGTGAGCTCCTCTGCAGCGCAATTGCTGACTAGTGCTCTGACTTTTCGTGGCGATACTCTTTGTGCCGAGGTTTGCACACTGAATTGTTCAACTTCATAATTATTATTTTCATTAGTATGACATTTTTGTCATGTTCTTTTTTTTCTAACGAACTGTTGATTCTGATTCTGGATATTGATATTGATATTGATAGATTGATTCTGAATTCATTCCATTTTATGGATTTCAGCGATCCAAAAAATCTGATAGTTTTATATTGGTTGAAATTAAGGCCGAAACTCTTGTGACAACAATTCTAAGCAAATTGCCCGATGTACATGCTTGTGTGCAAACATATACGGATCTATTGGCCGCGTTGATTGCGTTCGGAACGCATCAGTTGTACTCTTGCATCGACGTTTTATTGCTTCAGCCGTTGCCGTATTCTTTGTANTTATGTGAAATTAATTCAAATAATGTTTGTGATTGTATCGATGAGTGTTTTGGATGGTTTTGATGGAGGTTAAGTTAAGGTCAACGACAGACGCGTGGCATACGTTGGCGCATGAGGGAGCATTGTTCGCGCAAATGATTGACTACATACTAGAGTTGATGATGAACGGATGTGGTGCGACCAACGATTCAGAAACTCCATTCGAGGTGTTGGATACTGGCGCGGGATCTTCGGTGAAAATTGTAAAACCTGAAGTGTGCACGTTAGCGGCGGCGTTGAACGAATTGATCAAGGTGTGTGCATAAGGGATGGATATGTTCGCTTGTCAACTTCATTCATCCAATATTGTCTTATTGCTTTTATTTTTATCGATATTTTTAACGCGTTTCCTTTCTGCACATCGTTCATTGATGAGAGTCGTTGACTGCAGGCTGGTGAACCCGAAGATGAACTGCTCAAGAGGATTCCACAAGTTCTGACGGCTTTGCTGCAGTTCTTGGCCGCTGTAGTCGATACTCAATATCCGGTTCTGCAAAAAGAGAGCAAAGATGGTATATTTTTCTTACCG